GGGGATAAGTATGGTGGAGGAGGGCTGCTCCTGTCACAGCAGACAGGAAACAGAGCAAGGGAGGAGTCAGGAGGGAGATAAACTTTTTCCCGCCTGTTGTGACCCGAACCCACCTCCTAACAGGAAGTCAGCTACAGCCCCCATGATTCAGTAACTTTAAGAGCTCTGCACATCGGCGCAGGAAGCTGTTGATGGCATCCTCCATCTACACCATGGCACGCCCCTCTGATCTCTCCCAGCTCTAGTCTTTTCCTGTGTTGGGATGATTGCTTTCACTTGCCTGGCTGCCATAACAAAGTGCTACACACTGATGTCATAAAAGAAAAATTTATTAGCTGGGCATGGTGGTGCACACCTGTAATCCCAGCACTTGGGAGGCTGAGGCAGGAGGATCGCTGTGAGTTTGAGACCAGCCTGGGCTACATAGTGAGTTCCAGGTCAGTCTCAACTACATAGTGAGACCCTGTCTCAAAAAAAAAAAAACAAATTATTATCTCAGTTCTGAAGGCTGGAAGTCCTCGGGCAATGGGTGGGGAGGGCTGGTTCTTCCTGAGACTGTGAGGTAGCATCTGTTCTCTGCCTGTCCCCTACGCCTCCTTGCTGTTATTAATGTCGACTGTAGAATTTTCAGCGCCATCTTCATCTTCCTGTGACATTCTCCCATGTGTGTTTATGCCCACGTGTTCTAGCTTTTATAGGCACACCTGCCATACTGGCTTAGAGCCCCCATTTTTCTTGATTACCCCTTGGAAGACCTATCTCTAACTTAGGTCACATTCTAAGTACTTGGGGTTAGGGTTCCAACCTGTCTTTTTGTGAGACATAATTAAGTTCGTAGCATTGATGTTTCTTCCAGTCACCATTGCTGTGAACAAATTGCCCTAAAATTTAATGGCTTATTTATTCATATTTGTATGTTTTGCTTTTTTTGAGACAGGGTCTTACTATGTAGTTGAGACTGACCTGGAACTCACTGTGTAGCCCAGGCTGGTCTCAAACTCACAGCGATCCTCCTGTCTCAACCTCCCGTGGGCTAGGATTACAGGCATGCGCCACCATGTCTGGCTAGTGGCTTACTTTATTTATGCTCATGCATGAGGAATTTAGACAAGGTGTGGGAGGATGCTTGTGGCAGCTTCAGGACACCTTGGGCCATGGTGGGGCTTTCCTCTGGTGGAATTTTCCCTCAGGTGTCTGGTTTTGCTGCTGGGACTCCAATCGTGGCTGTTGATGTGGCAGCTCCATCCGGGCCTCTCATTGTGAATGGCGGCCTCAGGACGCCTGGCCTGACAAGACAGCGCTTTGTTTCAAAAGAGACTGTTTTGCTGTGCGAGTAGAAGCTGGGTTACTTCTCATCTCACCTTGGGAGCCAGCAGTTTACTTCTGCCACCTTCTATTAGTTATAAGGGCCCAAGGGGAAGGGAATTCAATTCTAGAAAGAGTAGGGAAGGTTCTGGAAGAGTAGATGGGATGGCAGTGATTGTCATCTTTAGAAAAATAAATCTGTGACAAGTGTTGAGCCTGAAATATTGGAAACTAACCTCATTTCAGATTAAACTCCTTTCTCCCACTCCCATTCCCAAATGATCTATTATTCTCAATTTCTTTTGTCTGTCAGTGATACAATGAACCTGAAACTTTGTTATTATCCCTGGTGAGAGCACACATCCAGCTACTATTTTATTTAAAAACCACTATTTGGTGAAACATTGGAGAGAGAGAGTGACTAAAAGGAGAAAAGGAATCACCTTGGAGAATTTACAAGAATTCTGTAGGTTTGTGTTGAGCATTCTCAGTGTGCCAGTACAATGCCAGCAGCTCAGAGCGCACAACTGAATATCAGTGTGTACAGTGATTAAAGGTATGGGATTTTTGTTAGCTTTTATCATCATCATCACCATCATCTCTTCAATTTGGTTCCTGCTGCCTGGAAGTTTATGGTTTAGGGCTGAAATAATAATCATGGCACTCTGCTTGGGAGGCTGAGGCAGGAGGATTGCTGTAAGTCCAAGACCAGCCTGGGCTACATAGTGAGTTCCAGGTCAGTTTCAACTACATAGTGAGACCCTGTCTCAAAAAACCAAAAAAAAAAAAAAAAAAAAAAAAAAAAAAAAAGTCACAGCACTCTGAATAAAACAGTTTGTTTCTGATAAACAAGCAACATATCACCACAAATCCTTTCCTATGAATTTGTCCAAATGAAAAACAAACCTACATTTGACGCTGGTCTCCCAGTGCAACTCAGGAAGTTGAGCTGAGAGGATCACAAAGTTTGAAGCCAACCTGGGCAATTTAATGAGATCATATCTCAAAATAAAAAATAAAAAAGGTCGGGGCATGTAGCTCAGTGGCAGAGTGCTTGCCTAATATGGGTGAAGCCCTGGGTTCAATAGCTTGCACTGCAAACAGGACAAAAATAAAAACAAAAATGAAACTTATGGTCACATAAATCCCTCAATGTGAGATTAGAAAGAAACCTAATGTCCCTCACTTGAGGAACGTGCAAGTGAATAGTGCCACTTGCACATGTGTGCTTATACACACATAATGAAATACTAGTAAGAAATCAAAAAGTACAAAACATGCAACAACTCGGATGCAGCATGCATTGTGATAAGTGAACAAAGTGAGTCCCAACAGGCTGCACTCTTCATTGTTCTGTGTATGTGACATCATAAGGTAAAACTAGGACAGACACCTGGAGGTGGTTGCGAGGGCTGCGGGGGAGTACGGGCTGACTTCCAAGGGTCACTGGGGGAACCTCTGTGGGTGATTCTGTACCTTGATTTGGTACTGGTTACCCTGTTTGTCCAAAGTTGCAGGACCACCGGGTGTGGTGGCCCATGCCTGTAATTCCAGCACTGGGGAGGCTGAGGCAGGAGGGTCCCCAAGAATTCAAGGTCAGCCTGGACTACACAGTAAGTTCAAAGCTAGCCTGCACTATACAGGGAGACCCTGTCTCGAAATAAAAAACTAAAATTTCTTAAAAATGGAAACCTTATGATATTTAAAATAAGTTGCAGAACCATACACTAAAAATGCTAAATTTTACTATGTGTAAAAGACCCTTTCATTAAAAAAAATCAACACAACGTCCAAGTGGCATCACCTTGGTGACGTGTCACAGACAGTCTTGGCGATCGGCCCCAGTCGGCCCCAATCAGCCCGTGCAGGAGGACAGCCTATGAGTATGCTCCTGACAGGAGGGTGAACGAGGACAAAAGATGAAAAGACACAGAGTCCATTTGGAGTGATGGATCAAGGGGCTCTCTGACTCTAACGGACAGGAGCCCCAAGCCTCTGGCCCGCCTTGCTTATATTCACTTAGATACGGAAGCAAGCAATCAGGGTAATAGAAGAGTCATCTGCTTCCTGTTCTCTATGGCAGATACCCAGGTGAACAACCGGATCTCAGCAGTTTAGACTCTTCTCTAGGCCTTGCCACATGCTCACATGCCTACATGTTGGCACAGGAGGCACAGCCAGTTGTTTTTCTCCTCGGTGCTCACAGGGAAGGTCAATTAGTCGTCCGTCCTCATTATCTGCTCTCCTCTAAGCTCCCCCGAGTCTTGTCTAAGATTCGGAGAAGGTGAGGCTGGGTGGCTTCCTAGACTGCCACATGGATTATGAAAGAGAACGCGAGAAAAGCACTTAATGAGGTGGTTGGCACATAACAAGTGTTTTTTTTTTTTTTTCCTTAAAAATTACAGTACAAGAGATTAACTTTGGTTTTAGGGAGGGGATTAAGAAAACCGATCAGGCAGGTGGGGAGGAAAGGGGGAAATTCTTGGAATGGCACCGTAACAAAAGGGAGTAAATACAAAGGCTAGAAGGGAACAGCATGTTTGGGGAACCCGAACAAGGAGGGGCCAGCATGCATGACGGAGGGTAGAATTCAGCAGAATGGGGCTGAGTTCTAACAAGCTTGCAGGTGATGCTGATTGTCCTGCGAGCAAAAAGGGCACAAAGGTCAAGGGAGCAAAGTATTGCAAAGTGCAGGAAATGGTCAATCATGTGGAAGATGGAAGCGCTAAAGCGAGACAAGACTGAAAATCCCTAGTTATCATCCTGTAGGCTGAGGTGTCCTCGGGCAAGCCATAGGCAGACGGGTAAGTTCAGAAGCCACCGGGAGCGGTGTGAGTGCAGGGAGACGTGGGAATGGAGTGCGTGCCTATAAAACAACTCTGGCGCAGTTTGGTTTTGAAAGGGAACAGAGATAGGGAGGTAGAGGAGGGATTGGAGCTTTTGATATTCGATTAAAAAAAAGTTGATGAGGATCCTGTAGAAAGACATTGATGGGCAAGAAAGAATGAGATGACCTGAAAATGGGTTGATTTACTAGATTTAGTCAATAAAAATACTAGACACCACGTTAAATCTGACTTTCAGACAAACAACGAACAATTTCTCAGGGTAAGTAGGTCCCAAACATTGTGTCCTGTAGCTCTCTGGCAACTTTAAAACGCGTTGTAGGCCCGGATGTAGTAGGAGGGATCTGGAGCTATAAAGTCCTCCCAGCTGTCACATTCCACCACTCCAGAATGAATTCCCAGTTGTATCAGAAGGGAGACTACTTTGAATTTCCGCTTGTGTATTTTCTCCTTTAGCTTTATAGTGACAAACTGGCAGGAAAGGTTGAAAAGCTACAGAAATGTCCTAGCTTGGAATATCAAGCCTTAAGTGTCTTGGAGATTTCTGAATTGCAAACCTGCCGTGGACTGGGTGTGCAGGACAGTGAGTCACAGGGTCCCTGTCCCGGGATCAACTCTGGATACAAACCCTAGCCAAGGGCAAGCCAAGAGCTAAGGCCAAGACTTCCGGTAAGAGCCTGCCCGCTGCGCTGCCCCGCCCTCTTCCAGGCTTTCATCCGGGTCTTGGGCAGGGGTGTGTTCGCGTAGACGGGCGGGGAGGCAGCGAAAAGGATGTCGTGGGAGCTGGAGGGGGGGGAGGAGCGAGGCGTGGCGGGGGCGTGGTCGGGGCGTGACCGAACGCGCGCTGTCACGTGACGTGCGTGACGACGTGTCGGCCATCTTGTGTTGTTGAGGCTGAGGACTGACTTGGGTTCTGAGAGACTCCCTGTCCCGGACCGCAGGTAACCAGCGACTCCGTCTCGCTCCTCTGCCCGGGTCCGCTCCGTGCCC